TCCTCAAGGACGTGCCTGGGTTTCTGACCCAGCATCCATCACACTGTGTCATATACCCTTTGTGACCTGTCTTCTTCCTGCCCATAAGTGAGCACCAGAGGCTAGAAATCAGCCTCTTCATCTTTTTCCTTTCCTCCATTTTCCATGTTTAATTTTCAGGAACCTAAAAAATCACTTTAGTTTGATTTTCATTTTAGATGTGCCTGAGTTCTGGGTAAGTGGTTGTGGATTTGGTTCCTTATGCTCTCTCCTCACCTGTGCTTAGCTGGCATGCACCAATCCCTTTGCCCTGTTAGCTTTCAGTGTAATTACAGCACAATTTGTGGTCATCAGAAGAATCAATGTTTATAAAATTGCTACTTTCAAATATTCCTTGTTTCCTTAGTACATTTTGCTACTAAAAAAGTGCCTTATATATGGTAATTTGTATTCAAGACAGATATTTTGGCTCATGATTCTTGAAGATGTCTAAAGTCAGAGAGAGCTTCAATGAATTCTGTTCTTGTAATGGGCTAATTCTCCTCTCCACAAATAATATCTTGTTACTTTGAACCTATATGGTGGTGGAGGGGGCGACCAGCTCTCCAACATCTCTTCTTAAGGGCACTACTCCCATCCATTTGAGCACTGCCTCATGATTTAATCACTGCATAACAACTCTGCATCCTAAGAATTAAGTTGCTGTTTTGGGTGGTGTACCAGCATTCAGACCATAGTGATTCTTATAACATTGTTAATTTTAAAGTTAATGTAAACTAAAAAAAAAAACCTTAATATTTGTGTATATCTGTTGCTGGTTTTTTAAACTTATTAAAATGAATCTGTGTAAACATCCACAGTTATTTTTACAAATTGTCCAGCCTCAGATCCTAAGTCCTGTTTTCCTCCCAGAGTCTGTTTCCTCCTCCATAAGCTCTGGGCTGCTCTGGGTCTAAATCCTGGGAGTCCTGGGAGTTCTCTGTCATTTCCTGTATGTCTTCTTCCTTTTCTGGATCCCTTGCTCTGCTCCTCTGCCCCTTCTAAATTTCTGCTTTGTTTTTACTTTCCTCTCTTATTTTGTAAGAGTACAATGTGTTAGTCAGCCTTCTGTTGCCTTGACAAAATACCCACGTTTCAGGGGAGAATTTTGATTTTGGCATGTAGTTTTAGATACTTTATCTACTGACTCTTGTTTCTAGTCCACGGTAAAGCAGGACAACCTTGGGGTCAGTATACATCCAGGGATGCTCATCTCATGGTAACTAGAAACCTAGAGAAAAGGAAGCAGGTTGTTGGCCCAAGGGGCACACCCTCAATGCAGCAAGACCCTACCTGCTAGGTGGATCTCGCTCAACAGTCCCTCATCAGGGGGGCGACCAAATAATGAGGTTTAAGCTTTCATAAGCTGGTCACTTCGCCAGAGCCATGCTAGTCAAGTCTTTGGCACATGAGCTCTGGGGATAGTTTAGATCCAAATTATAACATTAAGAAATCATGTCTTGGTGACTGATATCTGAGCACAGCTATTTTCTGTCCTCACGTTCCTGGCAATGGAACCACTGCTTCTCTGGAAATAATGTCCCTTCATAAGCTGGAAGCCATCCACCTCCTGACTTTTGAAGTTGAGTTTGCTATTGAGCAGCCTATCCCATCCTCAGCTGCTCCCTTTATAGCTATTTGGGATTGTTTGGCTATCATTAGCTTTAAGGAAACTTTTGGGATGTGTTCTTCCTAGGTGTGTGAAATTTTAGTGTTCTGTCTTGGCTGAAGAAAATGCCAAGGCTCCCATACTTATGTTGATGTTGTCTCTGCAAATGCTACCTCTCCTGACCACGGCACTCCAGGGCCCCACCAGTCCTTGTGGGTACTTTCTGATGCTTGAACTTTTCAGGGCCTTTCTCAGGCTCTGGTCCATACTGACTTTTTGGTTTTGTTTGTTTGTTTGTTTTGTAATAAGAGAATGACTTTCAAATAGTGTCTTTTTCCATACTTTCAGTTTCAGACCAGTATTTCCAACTGAACCCCTGAAATCACATCTGGTGTCACAACTAATATCTCCCACAAGAGAAGCTCATTGCCTTCCATGACCTCCAAACTCAAAATTTCTCCCCATACTTAACCATCCTTCATCCATGGGCAACCAAAGACCTCAGGCATTTCCCTCAGCAGCTCCCCCTTCTTCCCAGTCTACCCCTTTGATTCAATGTGGAAATAGCTATTCCTAGTCTTGCCTTTCTCCACTTCCCTCAACACTGCAATTTTCAAATTTCCATTTACGAGTTATGGGAGGCAATATGTCATTCAGTTCTACTGGGATACAATTTCAGGTAGTTGTTTAAGAGTTTTCAGAGAAGAAACAAGGCTGTATTTTTAATATAAATTGGCTTTATTTCCTTGGTTCATAATGGAAGATATATGTATAAAGCAATTGATTTTATATGTTGGCCTGTGTATCTGCTATTTTCTTCCGAGCACCTTCTTCCTCTAGCAGTCTCCATCCCTTTCATGTTTACCTCAGTCTTGTGCTCATGAGAACTGAATGAGTTCTTGTTGATCCTTAGAACCTAAGTATCTTAAGTGCATAGTGATGACCCAGTGCAGACTACCATGTACCAGGTAAACATATGTTGGGCAAATGCCCTCCTTATATCCTCTCATCTTCTACATTAACTTAAACAGAGATGACTTGCACACAGTCAGTTTACACTGCAAATTTGAGGTTCTTTAGCAAGAATATGAGACATGATTATGTCCTTAACCAAGACACAAAATTATAATGGGTTAGATAACTGCTTTCTATCAAACAACTGGATTTTGCCACCTATTAAAAAAGCAAACATAAACCCAGGCAGTGGATGTGCAAACTTTAATTACAGCACTTTGGAGGCAGAGGTAGATGGATTTCTGTGGGTTCACGTTCAAACTGATCTACAGAGCAAGTTCCAGGACAACCAAGGCTACATACACAGAGAAACCCTGTCTTGAAAAAAGAAAAGAAAAGGAATCTGCTCTCCCTGTCTTCCAGGAGCTACTTGTCTCATAATAGTTCTGTCTGGAAAACTGTAACTTTCGAAAGGACGTGTTGTGATCCGTGCCATATGCACTGAGCTAGCACACATGGGACAGGGCATGGTCTCAGATGGTCTCAGTTCTGTCTTGGAGAAGTGGTGGGAACTAGCTGGGGAAAGAAAATGGCAAAGACACTTTAGAGAGCTGCATGTTCAGAGTCGTAAAACAGAGACTGTGGCACTGTGTGAGTCCACTTGTGAGCATAAGCATGTCAGCATCTGTCCCCAAGGGACCAGCAGGATCAGCCTAATAGGCCATAGGACAGTCACCACCCACCAGTAACTTAACCTTGGCACAGTGTAATCTAGCACCCAGCCATATTCAGTCATGTTTAACTGTTCCCCGTCCAGGAGCAAAACAAACACTGTTTTGTATTTAATTGTCTTCCTCATTTTCCTTTCCCCTAAACCAATTCTCTATTTTTCTCTTCCCTGCTCTTCTTTTGCAAGCAAACAAATACACACACACACACACACACACACACACACACACACACAATCCTTTTATTTATTTAAATGTTTACTTTTGCTACTTAAATGTTTACTATTATATGGACTATGTTTAGGAAAAATATTATGAAATGTGAGTATAAACTTTTAAAGATTAGGTATGTAGTTATCGAATTGTCTGAAGTATTTAATGTTCTTTAAAGTAGACATTGAAGTGCTTTAGAATGAAATCTATGTGTAAATTGACAGCCTCCAAATACTCTGCTTCTCACCCACCGTTTCTGATAACACCTCCAAGGTTTAGTTCTCTTCTAAAAATGTGAAGTCGAAGCAGATGGAAAAGCAGCTGATACATATTTATATGTATGTATCTGTTTATAAACTGTAAATGAGTGTGGTTTTTGTACTCTGCCACATTCACGTGTCAACAGTTCTCTATAAAGAGAGTGTGTCTCCAAAAGGGGGGAAAACAGTGGGAAAAAGTTCTTAGGAAAATAGTTTCCGCTGTTATAATTACGCACTTAAGATACCAGGCATACAGTTCAAGAGATCAAGCCAGCAAATAGCTTCTTTTGCATGGACAAATGAATCCCTAGTGTTTTGTGAAGCAGAGATGGACAAGTTAGCCTCTCTGAAGTTATTTCTCCTTGCTGTAATATTCAACATTGGTAGCTATAAATACCCATGAATACGGTGAGATAGTCTGCCTTTGTAGACAGAGTAGGCACTAAATCTAAATTCTTTCTTGATTATATAGAGAATTTAATAATACAGGGAACATGGTCATTAAGATTTTTTTGAAAGCCTCCTTGGGTTTTTCCATCTTAACTGTAAAAGGTAACATATAAATTCTATAAAACTTTGTCACGATTATTATGTGTCACCTCAAGTCAAGGAAAAGTTGTCTGATACATACATACATGAATACATACATATATATGCATATGTTTGTGTTGTATTTATATGCATTGTATATACATGTGTCTGTTGTACATGTGTATATATATTGTATATACCAGAAGCACGATCACAGATCACAGAGGCGCACATGGAATGTCATTTTCTACAGTAAGTTTTGGCCGCTTCTATACAATAGAGGAACTACACCACACCTGGTCACTTTTAGAAACGAATCTGATGTTTAAACCATAACTCATTTCTAAAAGAGAAAATATGATTTATGATAACCCAAGATACCAATCTGACCAGAACCACATTCCATTTACTCTCACCGCACCCCAAGTCTATGAGAGCAGTGCTCCACACCGCATCTGTGGAGCCCTGCCTTCTCCGGTGGACAGCAGCACGAGCCCTGCGAGATGAAGGTATTAAAAGATGGTTGATTTATGACAGAGTCGGAGCCTTTCTTTTGAAATAGCTGGCTTCATAATGGTGCTCTGTCCTTTTCCTCTCTAGCATTACCAGTGCTCGTTTGCATGTGTGTTTTGACATTGCTTTGGTAACCCTGAGGGCTGATGGAATTCCCTGTATCTCTTTTCACAGAGGGTGACGAGACAGGAGTGATGGATAGTCTGCTGGAGGCCTTGCAGTCAGGGGCTGCCTTCCGGGACAGAAGGAAAAGGACACCGAAGCCGAAAGGTGAATTCTGTGCTTGCGTCTTTCTAGGAAACAGTCACAGGGAAGAGCAGTTTCTCCCCTAATTTTTTTAAAGTCCTATGTCACGACTCCAGTGCTGTGGGCCATAATTGTTCTTGAGTTTCCTGAGTTTGCTTAATCCTTCACAGAGACAGATGTCACAGAGAGATGCATTCCAGTTGGCTGGTGTCAGTAACACATTTACAAATGAACGCACTGAACCTAGAAAATCCTGATTAGTGTGACAGGTCTCATCTAAAGAACCATATGTACATTGTCCCAGTAGAGTTTGCTGGAGCACAGATAAACTGGAAGGAAAAGTCATAGCGGAGCATTGCTGCTCCAAGTATTTCAGGGCACTGAAGCACTGAGTCGTCGCTAAGAATACCTAAGCTTGGAAAACTCATGTAATACTCTTTTACTTCTTAAGTTGAACATGCGTCTATATTAAATTTCTCTCCCCTCCCCCTCTCTCAGCAGATATTCGGCAGAGTCTCAGTCCAATGTCTCAGAGGCCTGTTCTCAAAGTTTGTAACCATGGTAATAAATTTTATGCATAAATTGCATGTTATTCTTATCTGCTTTTATCCTGTTGGTCTGTGAGTTTTGCTGTGCTGCTATTGGAGTTCTCAGGTTCCAGGATAAGGAAGATAGTAAAACTGTGCAGATGTGTATCTTTGCTCTGAGATTGGGTCTCCACCTTTCCATACTGCGTTATTGCTTTGAGTTGTTGCTTCAGTTTTTCTAATTAGGTTGCAAGTAGATGTTAAGAGTGTTGTTAGAAGTTACATTTGCACATTTCTGACCAGTGTCATCCAGCGCACCATTTTAAATCAATGTGATTTCGTGATAACTGCTTTAAAGTAGTGGATTCACTGTGCATGAAGACCCATGTGAAGTCCTGAAACCTGTATCCGTTCCCCTGCCTTATCTGTCAGTGCAGTGACAAATAATTCCGCTTTCATTTTGGGCAAACCCTAAGTACCGATGACCTGCATATACTGTTACAATGAGATGACCATAATTGTAAACTGAACCGTCTTCATATCTGATGATTATCACAGACTTGGATCCTTTAAAAGATCCCAAATGAATGTCATCCACCCACCTGCATTTACCCTGCCCATATTTGGGAGTCCATCTTACACAGATTTGGTCTAATTCATTTGGTGTCTGTTCTGTCAAGTTCTCTGTTAATTGGATTCTGCTTACCTTATGTAGTCAAAACCATGTTGATCTTTTGTAAGTCCTTTTGGCTCACAGTGAGCTTGTCATCAAAGTCTGCTGAATCTGACAAATTTTATTTGAAGCCTTTGGGAGTTAGTTTCTATAAGTATTAAGATGTGACTGTATGCCATGCTTCTAACTAATCTCAAAGAGGTCAAGTAAGAAAACACAGGGATTTAATGATTGCCTAGTAGCTATGTAGTCATGGAAGTTTAGTAAACGCTGAAGAAATGACCAGAAAGATGAAATCTGTAGAAGTATTTTAAATAGGTCTTTCAACTTTTTAATGTATGCTTTGGCTTTTGATTTGCCTTTCCTGTTCTGACAATAGCAAGAAAAAAAATGGAACAAGCGATGTTTGTTATGGGTATTATGTCATTCCAAGTCTTAGCTTATGATCTTACACCATCATGGCTTGCAGAATTATAAAGTATAGAGCATGGTGAGAACCTGAACTTTAGAGATGATTTTCTTTAGCAGAGAAGTGAATGGAAATCCTCTGAGGCTGGAGATAGCTCGGGAGGACAGAGCTCCTGACAGCCCTGTGGCCATTCCACTGAGGCTGGAGATAGCTTGGGAAGACAGAGCTCCTGACAGCCCTGTGGCCATCATTAAGTTCTCTAATTCCTACCACACTTCTTTTTAATTACATGCAGGCACTCAAGAATTTCAGCTAATAAAAGATAAGTTTGGTCATTTGTATTTATTTCTACATGGTTAAAAATATGAAGAAGAAATAATAGATAGCAATATAAAACCACTAAAGACAATTTAACTCATTGTATTAGAAAAAAGGAGAACATACCTCCTTCGGCTATTGTGTAACTTTTATAGTTAGAACTCAGGCCCCATTGTAAATCATGAAAAAAGAAAAGAAAAAACCACTAAGCTCAGTGATTATTTTACTATGGTGGTTAGTTACTATGACAGCATTATAAGGATAATTTAAAATATGTATTTCAGATGCTATGAAGGCAAAAGCTATGTTAGGCACCTTTGCACACCAGCCTTGGGGAACTGAATCCTTCTGTGACTGTAATGTTAATAAATGTTTGGTGTGTAACTGCTCGGCTGTGGTTGCTTATAAACTGTGGTATTTCTGTTCATTATAGAAAAGCTGCTGAACATGGCATTCTTAGAATGCTAATATGTGCTATCTTAATGCTTGGGCTAGTGTGATAATTAAGCTAGGAGATTACACAGCAGCCAAAAGAAATGCACCACAACAATCGAAAATTCTTTTTCCTCATATCCATATAACCAATTAAATTCTCCTTAGCAATTTTAGACTGACGTTTATGGTTTCTCCTTTACATTTCTGTCCAAGGGAAATGAATCTAAATGACCAAACTTATCCTAAGAACAATGCACATGAACATAAACCTTTTTAGGGTTGATATTGAAAAGTCCAGAGGGCCAGGACTATTTGTAGAATAAGATGATATTTTAGAGTTAATTGTATTCTTTCCAAAAGCACTTTGTTTACTTCATTAAAAATATTTAATACTACAATTGAACTGTGATAGCAATGCAACATTGAATCTTTTTAACTTTTTAATTTGTTTCTATATGTTTTGCAATAATGCCAGATATTTAAATTTTCTGCAAGTATATGTTGAAGTTGACATCATAACTTATTTTTTTATTTATAAGATTTCTTGTACTTGTTTTAAGTTTCATAGCCTATTCACATTATAATAAATAATGTAGAATAAACTGAGTTACTTTCTATAGCCAGAATGCTTTCTATGTATCCTGTTTACTTCTCAACATCCCTGTTTCCATGTCATAGTTGAAAGTAATCAAAATGAAACAAGTCTGGTAGTCTCCTTAAAGACATTCTTCCCAAATTGAGTCTTTTCTCCATGACATCAGAGTCCAAGTTCATAGTCTGTTTTCCATATCACCTTGGAAGTAACCGTGTGATCAGTGTTTGTTCCTTCCCATGTAGGACCTGCTATCGCTTGTGGCAGAAGATAAAGCTACTTAGACTCCATCTCTGGAGGCTCTGCAGCCTCTGGTGTGCTTTGCCTCTTGTTCACAGATGTAACCACTAGATAGCACTGTTTTGCTAGCCTTTAGCTTCCCAAAAACATTCTTCAGGAATGATGGCCACTTTTCATTTCTTTTAATAAAACCACTGTGGAAACATCTACCTTAGGTTAACAAATGGATACCATTTATAAATAGCTTACAAGGTTATGTATTATAATCTTGTACGATTATAAATATCATACAAGATGGGTTATATATAAACATGTATTCAAATTACATACTTATAAATATGTATCAAACCACAACATATATACACACATATGTACCAAGTCACAAATTTAATCTCATTAGCTGCTGTTTTATGCTTTTGTCTTCATATATTTTAATGGCTATTTCTTGTTAATGTCTTTTTAAAACATAGCTGTTGTTCCAAACTCTCTCTTTATATAGATAGATAGATAGATAGATAGATAGATAGATAGATAGATAGATAGATAGAGAGTGTGTGTTATAGATGGGATTCATTGGAATGACTTACAGGCTGCAGTTCAACTAATCCAACAATGGCTGACTGTGAATGGAAAGTCTAAGAATCCAGTAGTTGCTCAGTCCATAAGTCTAGATGACTCAGCTGGTTTTCAGTATATGCTGGAATCCTGAAGAATCACTGGCTCTAATGCCAGTGAAAGAATGGACTTGCTGATTCAAAAATTGGTGAGAAAGACACCTGGATTAAAAGTCGGATAGATCTTTCCAAATTGGCAAAAGATGTGAAGATACTTGTCCCATATCAGTGTTCATCAAAAGGTGTCTTCAGCTGAGAAGGAGTTCAGTAATCAAGTATATAGGATGACCAAGTCATGAACAGTCATCCTCTTTCCCCAGCCAATCCCAAAGTGGCCATGGTTACAGAGATTTGGATTATGCATGAACTCAACAACATGGACTTTCACTCATTGAGGCTGACTTGGCTACAGTTACTGCTGAGGCAACAAGAGAGACCAACACTAAGCCCCAGATATGGGTGGCACTATTCCCTGTGTGACTAGCCAGTGACTTTGTGACAAGATAAGACCACTTTCTCCATGGAAATGGCAATAGTTAGTACTCACTGGAGTGGTTATTTATTATGGTTGTGGAGTTGCCTTTCCTGCATGTAATGTTTCGCCAAAGCCACTATCCATGGACTTAGAGAATGCCTTAACTACCATTATGGTGTCCCATATAGAATTGCTTTTGATCTAGGAACACAATTTATAGCCAAGGAAGTGTAGCAACAGGTACATGATTTTACAATCCGCTGGTCTTACCATGTCTCCACCATCCTGAAGCAGCTGGCTTCAAAAAATGGAATGGCCCTTTAAAGACAAATTTATAGCACCAATTACAATTAGCAGCCTGGAGGACTGAGCCAGTGTTATGTAAAAGGTGGTATGTACTTTAAAGTCCAATATAAGGTACAGTTTTTCCATATCTGTAATCCACATGTTCAGAAATCAAGGGATATAAAAGAGAATAGTTCTACTCATCATCACTCCTAATGACCCAGCAGGAAATTTTGTACTTCCTGTTCCTGTAACCTTTAGTTCTGCTGGCCTAGAAATTTTGGTTCCAGAGATAATAGTGTTCCTTCTAGGAGCCACAACAAAGATTCCATTGAACTGGAAGCTCAGACTTTTCCCCTGGACACTTCGGGCTTCTAATGATGATAAACCAACAGGCTAAGAAAGGAATAACAGTGTTTGGAAGGGTCAAAGATGTAGATTACCATGGGGAAATTAGATTGCTTCTCCACAATGGAGGTAAGAGATATTATATCTGGAGTTCAAGAGATCCTTTAAAGTGTCTATTGGTGCTACCATGTCATATGATTAAAGTCATTGGAAACCAAAACAGCCTAATCCAGACAAGATGCAAAGGGGCACAGACCCATCAAGAATATCAGTATGGGCCAGAACCTGCTGAGGTACTTGCCAAAGCTGTAGGAAATACAAGACAGATAGAAAAGGAAAATAGTTACAACAGCCAGCTATTGCCACATGGCCAGATACTGAAAAGAGAGTTTTAATTGACATGAGTATTTCTTTCATATTTTAACAATGCATTTGTACGTATATTTATGTTTCCTTTCCACAATTCCTTTATTGTGAAGTGCAATATCACTTAAGAGAATATCAATGGTTATCATATTTAAGTTTGAGATACTAAAGTAATCTTCTGAACATTGCCACCTATTCTAAACTTATGTATTTGTAGTTTTACAAGGGATATCATGTTAGGCATAATTATGACCTGGTTGAGTACATAATTAGATTGTG